AAATAAATAAATAAATAAATAAATAAATAAATAAAACCTTTTGATATTTTAGACAAAATTCCCGTAAATCAAATTCTCAATGAAACCTTACCTACCCTGAACTAATTTGGGGATTTTCCTGGACCATCTCAAAAGATTTGGGTTTTTTCCTCCTTGGAAAAGAGAAATATGAAACCAATGAGACTCATTTCACATGTTAAATTACATGGGAAGTCAAGTAGGAAGAAATGCTAACTACACTTTCCTTAGGAAATATGTATATGGAAGCTATTGATAGAAGTGTTCCAGAAAGTATATAAAATTCCTAAAAACAGGGAGCGCCTGGGTGGCTCAGTCGGTTAAACGTCCAACTTCTGCTCAGGTCATGATCTGGCAGTTCACGGGTTGGAGCCCCGCGTCAGGCTCTGAGCTGTCAGCCAGAGCCTGGAGCCTGCTTCGGATTCTGGGTCTCCCTCGCTCTCTGCCCCTCCCCCGCTTGTACTGTCTCTCCCTCTCAAAATAAAATGAAAAAAAACCCTAAAACGTATTCCTAAAACTCTGGTATGTCGTGGTATAATAGCATCAATTGATCACAACCTTGGTTATTACTTTAAAATATATACCCCCAAAATAACCGAATCCCCTTGTCAATTGCATTAGCATGAACTCTTACCCGGAATTACTGCTTCACTTCGGATGCTTTTGCAAAAGTGTTCCTTCCCCCTCAGGTGTTCCACCTTCGGGGAGATTCACGGAAAAGACGGAGAAATAGAGGTTTCTGATAACTAAGATCGTACCACTGACCTGGTACAGAGAGAGGCCCCCTAGGATTTTAGTCGCAGCTCTGGAAAGGGGGCAAACCTCTGGTCACCCCCACAGAGCACCAGCTCCTGGCAGTGGGTCCACAGGGCTCCTCCAGATGGAGACTCTCGGGGAGGAGTAAGCCACGGCAGCCAGTGGGCTGCACTCAGAGGGCGGAGAGTCCCCCCCTGCACCCTGGACTTTTGCCCTTTTTGCACCGACAGCTGGCCTATTTTAAAGGGATCAACCCTACTGGGGTTGCGGAGGGGTGGATGACCATGAGTGGGCCCTCATGGGGTCAGGGCATATGAGGGAATATTTGGGCTCGCCTGCAAGAGTCTGAGGCAGTCCTCCCTTCTCCATATCCCGGCTCACGAGGCACTGACACCCCCCTGGCAATCAGGAGGCTGAGGCCCTAGCCCGGGGAACAACCTTCGGCAGATACAGCAGATCGGATGCACGAAGAGAGCGGCCGCCAGCGTGCCCGGGGAAGGCTGGCCTATTGCCAAGGATGCTCGATTGCCCCTGAAATACAGTGATTTGGTTAATCCACTAACAGCATGCCCCGTGTATTGTAAGCAGCACCCAAGGTGACTGGCAAAGGGGCCTGGGGTCATTCACGAGAATTCCCCATTGACGACAGAGGGGCAAATTGGGTATATTGCCTCCTCTCTCCCTCAGTGCAGGTTTTCGCTATGCTTGCTTTGTGTAGACACTGTGTCTGGCCTAGCCCAAGCTTTCCCCGATCACCAAACCAGGCTGCCACCATTAGGGTATTAGAGAAACGAAATGCCATCTTTAGACACCCTCATTAACCAAACAGTGATTGGGGGTCATACTGCAAAAGGGGCCAACAGAGGGGCGCCTGGGTGGCTCAGTCAGTTGAGTAGCCAGCTCTTGATTTCGGCTCAGGTGATGATCTCATGGTTCATGAGCTCGAGCCCGGCCCCCATCGGGTTCCATGCTAACAGGGCCAGACTTGCTTGGGATTCTGTCTCCCTCTCCCCTACTTATGCATGCTCTCTCCTCCCACCTGAAAGCGCTGTTCCCCCCCCCCCCCCCCCCCCCCCCC